TATAAATTTGGAAAATTTATGTCTATTATAAATTTTGAATATTCTTTACTGACAAAACTATACTACCAACTATGGTGGATTACATAGAAGTGTCCCCCATAGGCTCCAACTGTTTGAACATTTTGCACCCAGCTGGCAGCACTGTTTTGGGAGGTTTTAGGAGGTGTGGCCTTACTGGAGGAAGCACATTACCAGGGAAGCGTTTGAGTGTTCATAAGCCTTGCCAGTTTTCCAGTTTCTCTCTGTTTCCTGTGTCTGATTGAAGATATGAGGGCTCTGCATTCTGCTCTGGCCATCTCCTGTCACCACACCTCCCCTCCATGATAGACTCTAATTCCTCTCGAACTGTAAGCTCCATACAGGAATCCCTTCCTTCTGTAAGTTCCTTTGGTCACAGTGTTTTATCACAACAACAGAAAGGTAACTAATATAGAAGTCAGTAACAGAGAGAAGATTGTTGTTGTGAAGAATATGACCGTGTGGTTTTGGGGGCCATATGGAAGATTTCGGAAGTTTAAACTAGAAAAGTGTTTGACTACTGCAAGCAGAGCTAAACATGCCATTGTAGTAGGAGCCTGGAAATAAGTAGTTCAGAGAACAATGTAGTTCCAGAAGGATGCAATGACAGGCAACAACTGGGATATTTTGGCAAAGAGTCTGGCTGCTCTCTACCCACAGCCTAAGCACTTACCTGAAGCTAAGTTGAAATGTAGTGGACTAATTTCTTTGGCAGAAGAAATTTCAAGAAAGTCGAATGTGGAAATGGTGGTGTGGCTATTAATGGTAAATATTTTGCAGATCTACTGTGAGAAAGAATAGTGGGCCAGAAATGCAAAATGTAGAGTTTAGGTCAAAAAAGCTCACTAGGAAGCTTAATGTTAGAGCCAAGGCACGTGCTTAAGGAGAGGCTGTCTTTGTTAAGGAGATTAAAGTCTTTAAGGAAAGACCTAAAGATTTGCACTTCTTAAAGGGCAAGATCACAACCAGGTAAGCCTCAGCTTCTGAAAGGAAAAAGCCTAATGTGTGTTCTTCTAGAAAGCTGCAACCCAAAAGAGTTGCTGGTAAAGTACATGAAGCCTATCAGCTTCCATTCCAAACTGGTAGTCAAACTTGGCAGGGTAGTTCACATGGTGCTAGCTTTAGAGGCACAAAAGATGCAAAAGTGAAGGGGTCATCAGTCCTTCCACTTCAGTTTCAGAGATCCACTGAGATCAGGCAGCATGCAGCAGTGGTTTCCCTGTGTGAAAAAGACACCAACAGGCCAAGAAGCCTTGATAGGCCTTTATGTGAAGCTGTGAAGGTAAAGGCAGGTTGGCAAGAGAATGGAGATACTTGACTCCAGAGGCATCTGCCAATGAGAGCTACACAGGGACTGGTACCAGCCCAAAAGAAAGATGTATTTTGCACACAGCAAGGCTGGAGGGGCTGATCCATCTAAAGCCTTTGGAAGTAAATTTAGAGATGTTTGACATGGAGCTGCAGGGTTTGGTGTTTGCACTGCTGGGTTTTAGTCTTGTATTGGATCAGTATTTATTCAGTAAGCAAGCCCCCATTCCTTCCTTTTAGAATGGGAATGTGTATTGGTTTCCATTGTATGTTGGGAGTATAGAATTTGTCTTTTGATTATACAAGAACTTAGAGTTAAGAGATTACTTGTGTCTTGGAAGAGACTTTGGTTTCTGAACTTTGAATAGTATCCAGACTGGTAAAGACTGTAAGGACTTTGAGGTGGACTAAATAAATGCATTTTGCATTTTATATGATCATGATCCTATGGGGGCCAGGGACTGGAATGTGGTGGTTTGAATGAAAATGTCACCCATGTGCTTCAAGTGATTGAACATTTCTTTCCCCAGTTGGTGGCACTGTTTTGGGAGGTTTTAAGAAGTATGGTCTTTTGGGAGGAAGTGCATCATTGGGGGTGGGTTTTGAGAGTTGTTAAACCTTTCCAGTTTTCCAGCTGCTCTCTGTTTCCTGTGCTTGCTTGAAGATGTGAGGGCTCTGCTTTTTGCTACTGCCACCATGTCTTCCTGCCATGATAAACTTTAATCCTTCTGGGACTGTAAACTCAAATAAACTCTTCCTTTGTCCCTTTGTCTCAGTGTTTTTTTACTTACTTATATTTTGCTGTCGTTTTTTGTTTTGTTTTTTTTTTTTTTTTTTTTATCAGAGCAACAGAATGGTAACTAATATGCAAGCTTCAACAATGAAATTTGTCACTGTTCCTGTGAGTTTGCCACTCACTCCCTTTCCAAATTCTCCACCTGTACAAAGTTCTTCAATGTAATAATGTTACTTTTTAAACAAAGAATGTTATTGGGGGAAGCTTAAATAAAAAAATTATTAATTTCAATTAAATTTTTTTCTTCATTATGAACAAAGCCAACTGTAAAATGAGCAGGTGATAATGGGGACTTAGTATTTCAGGCATTTCTTCCTGAGTTGTGGTTGGTTCCATTAGAGGAATTATTATTGTGCCTGGCCACTTGCATTCAAATGCTGATTTTTCTAATAGTAAACTTGTTAGTTATTTCATGTGTTCCCAAACCACTCAGAATACACTAATTTTATCTATATCCAAGACTCAGAGCTTTCACTGAACTATGATCATCATATGTCTGAGGTCCAATATGATCTATTATTTCTCCACTCTGAACATAAGTAAATGAAATCAATATTTCACCACAATAAATTGATCTTTTCAGCCTTTTTTAAAATGATTACTCTATTTAGGAATCTTGGAGAAGAAATAGTAGAATAAATTCCTTATGTTATACTCTAGGACTCATAACAGTAGAAAACCACAAATTATCATAGAATTAAATGATTAAACTAATTTAAAGATCTCTGAAAAGATAATTTTTATTGGTTACACATTATTTTTCTCAAACTAAGCTAGATATTATTTAGAACACAGAAGAAAAATCTGTAAGTTGATTTTAAAAAAATCTCATTATTTCATTGGAATGATATAATGAAGAAAGAATTGAGAAAGACAGGAACAGAAAACAGCCAAAACATATCATGGCCATGTATTTTCAGAGATGTAGTATTATATATATAAAAAAGGAACATACATGAAGGAAATGAATATTTAGTAAAGAGTTAATAATAGAAACATTTATTCAGAGTTCTAAATGAATAGTTAGGATTTCTAGAAAAGGAGAAGGAAAAGTATAACCTAAGTTGATGAAACATAATGAATAAAAACTTAGGATGTACAGGTTCTCAGCAGTCTAATAAACATTATGGATTACTCCAGAAATGTTCATAAACTAAAAGAGCAGGAAATTTTAAAAATACATATTATAGATAAGAAAATAAATACATTGAAATACAATCAATCATCAAGATTAGACAAAATGAACCTTTGGATGCAGTAATAAAGGACTTATTAACATATTTATGTTGGCTTAAAATTAAAATTTATTTAATAAGATACTTTTATCCCTATCTTCATTTATTTTTGTATTAGAAAATCTTGAGTTAGTTCAAAGACAATGAATTTTAAAGATTCATTAAAACAATGCCTTGAATTTTTTTCTTTTTTTTTTGTATTTTTTAAATGTCAAGATATATAAACATAGACAAATGAAATTCAATAAAGAAGAACATTTGAAGAGAGAATCAAGTAAAGAATGAGGAAAATGAAGGAACAGTAAGAAGGAAGAGATTTTATATTTAAGATCTAACAGTAGCCAAATCATTATCACTGACTCCTATTAGGAATGAGCAGTAATATTCAAAGTCTGAATATGAATGACATTTTGAACTATGTATAACACAAAATATACATATATCTGTTATTTCTTTTTAAAAATATTTTATTTATTATTTTTATTTTTATGTGAGTATGTGTGTATTGCCTGCATGTAGGTAAGTGCACCCGTGTCCTGCAATGCCCACGGAGGTCAGAAGAGGCTGTTGGATCCCCTGGAACTGGATTTATGGACAGTTGTTAGCTGCCATGTGGGTGCTGGGATTTGAACCTGGGTCTTCTTCAAGAACAGCTAGTGTTCTTAACCACCGAGCCATCTCTCCAGCTGCTATATCTGTTATTTCTAATGCTAATCCACACTTGTTGGTAACAGCTTCTCTGCTCTGAAGCATATATCCATAACTGAAAGAAATGCTTGCTCTCATCTAGTAGTTAAGGAAAGTGATGGTCTGATATTTTTCTCAGCAAAGATTATAAACCTCTTTGGTTCTATCCACAGACCTGTATGTATACCCTGGACTTAGTGAGATTTAGAGGAGGACACAAAGCCACCATTATCTAAGGTTCAATTGTTGTGAAGTGCTGTATTGGTGCCATAAATGTTTCTTTTTTAATTTTTATAGTTATTTTCATTTTTGTGTATGAGTGTTTTGCCTGGATGTAAGCAATTCCAACTGTGTCTTGCAATACCTTTAAAGGCCGGAAGAGATCATGGGATTCCTTGGAACTTGAAGTTACAGACAGTTGTTAGCTGTCATGAGTGTCCAGGGAAACAAAACCAAGTAGCCATTGCTCTTAACTATTGAGCCTTCTCTCCAGCCCTTACTATATATTATTTTTATAACATGCTATGATGAGTAAATTGTTATAATGGGCATGTTAGAACAGTAAAAATAACATTTCCTCTCCAGATTTTGGAATAGGTCTAAAGAGACTCTTAACAGTAAAATATTGTATCTAAAATAAGTGTCATCCTCTTGCTAATTTTTGAAGATATTTCGGGATGTTTTTCTTTTTCAAAAAAAAATTTATTTATTATTTGTATTTTGTGTGTGAGTGTATTGCCTGCATGTATGTAAGTGCACTCATGTAGTGCAATGCCCATGGAGGTTGGAGAAGAGCATCAAATTCCCCTGGAACTGGAGTTACAGATGGTTGTTAGCCACCATGTGGATGCTGGGAATCAAACTGGGGTCATCTGTAAGAGCAGACAGTGCTCTTAAACACTGAGCCATCTATCTAGACCCTGGAATGTTTTTCTTAAAACTTAGTGTCTACTTACCAACACTGGTGCAGCTTTCCCCGTCCACAGCCAGCTTCCAGCCTTCGTAACAGGAGCACTTGACTGTGTGCTTACGCTGCTCACACACTTGGCTGCACCTCAGGTGGGTGGCACAGTAATCCACAATTTCACAGGTTTTATTGTCTTGCTTGAGCTGATGTCCTTCTGGGCAGGAACAGACAATTCCTCTTCCAGGAACAACTGAACAGTGGTTGCTACAGCCTCCGTTGTTCAGAGAACATTCATCTATAACAAGGACAGGTGACGGGTCATATTTTCCTCATTCCGTTCTACTCATTGAATCAATTCTCTACATGTGGAATTGAAGTCAGTATACTCTGAATGAATATAAGAAAATCCCCCACAGGGAAGAGGTCAGAAATAATGCTAGAAATGATTCGATGACAGAATTTATTTCTAAATGATAGGAATTGAGAATGAAAGTTTTTGCTTCTATTAAACTCTGGAGTACAGTTTGGGTTAACCCATCAAAATAAATTGTGTTCATTATTTCTGTTAACACTGGAAAGATTACTCTAAACCTTTTTTGAAGCTGTAAAAAATCAGTTGTAGATTTGTCCAAAAGAGATAAACACCTATTGATGATCTGAATATTTGAATTAACGTTTATAAATAAACCAGAATATATGCATCTGTAATTGATCGGTAGTGATAATGAAGAATGGTTTTCTTAGTACCGGTGTCCTATATATTGGTCTTTGAGAGTAATTCAAAGAAATCATTTAAATAAAACAAGTGATACACTACAAAGTTACACTGATAGTTTAGTGGGGATCATGAGTTAGCACTGTCCACTGCAGAAGCAATATAGTTTCTAAAGAAAAAGAAAATATCTCTTCTGTTTATCAATGTAGACCCAACAACTAAGTCCCTGCCTGACACTGAGTAAGTAACTAAAAATATTGGATGAATAATATTAAAGTCTTGAAAGTATATAAGTAAGTTGAGCCAACACTGTCTATGTGAGAAAGCTTTTGAATGTCATGCTCTTGAAAAAAATAGAAAATTTTTGTTTTTACAGCTGCTCTGTTCCCTATCTAGGGAGCCAATGAGCACATAGTAGCAAGGTCAAGAGCTTTCTGGTTCTTTGTCCAAAAAGAGTCGGGTATGATGACACATGCCCTTCATCCCAGCCTTTGGAATCTGAGGCAGGTAGATCTCTGTGAGTTGAGGCCAACCTGGTCTACATAGAGAAAGTCCAGACCATTTTTACATTTTACAAATTTCAGTGTGCCTCACCTCTTCTCTATATTATATGTAGTCATCAAAAAAGTTATAGTAGGGCTGGAGAGATGGCTCAGTGGTTAAGAGCACTGACTGCTCTTGCAAAGGACCCGGGTTCGATTCCCAGCACCCACATGGAAGCTACAAACCGTCCTTAACTCCAGTTCCATGGGGATCCGACGCCCTCTTCTGACTTCTGAGGCACTGCACGACACGGGTGCACTCACATACAGGCAGGCAATACACTCATACACATAAAATAAAAATAATAAATTTTTTGTTACAATAATAAGAAAAGGAAAGTGATTTCATTAACCACTCTAAGCATTCAATTCAAGTTAAGCATTATTTTGGAAGGAAAAAAAAAAGATTCATTTCCAAATATGCTCGCTCAGCAGCAATCATAATCATTTGAAAACTGTAGTCATTTTGGAATATTTTCCCATTTTAGTTCAATTGACATTATTTTTCAAGAGAATTACTGTAAAGAAATGTCATTGTGCCCAGCAGGTAAAAAAAAATTGTCACAATGTTTGCAATTTATTTCAAATATCTTTTATCTTATTACCGAGAAGTTCTAATGCCATCTGTGGATTTAAGTGATCGGTTTTAGGGCAAGTGAAACTCACACTGAAATCTAAAACTGAACATACAAATTGAATGTCAATATTTGCACTGTCATCCCTTATTGGTTTTTGAAGTCTAGCCTTGTCGTTAACCCTGAAACTTCTTTTAAAAACTTTAATTATAGACCTCAAGGTATGTCTGTTAAACATCCAAGAAGGTTAGTTCCACCATCCTCGCATTTTTAATTACTGTGTGTCATGCAGATAAGTTTGGGGCAAAGATTAGTTGTTCTCAGATAAACCTTACATATGCATATATTTCTTGATCTGCTATGTATAATTTGTCAGTACGTTGTAGGAGTAATATGGTTCTCTCTGGTTTTCAAAACTACCTAGGCATTATTTATCTCTCACATTGTCTCACCCCTCCATCATGCTTTTCCCACTTAAGGTTCCCCCATTTCCCCCTTCTCCCTTACTAATACCCTTCTCCTATGGTCCTACCTCTCTTGAGCTCCTTCTTTCCCTTTATCCCCTAGGTTCCTTGTATACCCTTCCCTCCCCTCTCCCTTAAACTAACCCAATTTTTATCCATATCTCCCTTATTAAGGCCTGTTTCCTACTGTTCTTCTCTTTTAGGTTATTTCTTTCCCTTTACCTCCCTGGTTCCTTTCCATTATCCTGGTTCCTGTAGTTATGTCTGGTTGCACACTTATTTATCAGAGTCTGGTGTTAGGATCCACATATGAGGGAGAACATATGTCAATTATATAT